TCGGGCTGATCGGCAAAATCGTCGATCACCACCAGCACCTGGAACAGTTTTTTGAGCCCCAGCTGCTTGGAGCTCCGCGTTATCTTCTTCTGCTGCTCGATGATCGTGCGCAGCGCCCCCTCGTCCCACTTGTCGAAGAAGACCTGCTCACGCTCCGTGTTCACGCCCATCTCGTTCTCTATAAAGTCCCTCACGGGCCTCCAGCCATCGTCTATTTCCACGGACGGCGAGAAAATGTAGATCCTCTCGAAGACCGACTCGCCGCTTGCAGTGCGGTACTGGTCCAGAATTGCGCTAATGAGCGCCACCGTTTTGCCGCTCTTCGACGGCCTCAGGAAGATGCCCGTGCAGGGCACCCGCGGCACAATCGGGTCCCTGGGCTGCTTCGAAGTGTACTCAGGGGTCGGGAAGAGCTTGACTCTCCCCATCGCCGATCGCCCCTTTACCCAGAAGCCGCCGCGGCAATCTCCTCGCAAAGCCGCGGCGGCAGGCTGTAGAGCTGCCGCAGGCTCTGCTGGTTGCGGCGCCCGGCGGTGGTCTCCCGCTGGGCGGCCTCGGGGTGGATGCCGTTTGCAAAGGCCTCGCAGCGGCTGCCCTTGCGACACATCCCCTGCGACGGCGTCCAGGGCAGGTTGTGCCAGATCCTGGTGGCCTTGCGGTACATGTAGCCGTACTTGCAGTAGCACACGTCGCTGTAGGGCAGCCCCTGCATGAAGGGCCGCGTCTTCAGCAGCCCCGTCTGCGGATTCTCAATGGCCCAGTATGTGGGCCGCAGGTTGCGAATGATCTCCAGCGCTCGGAGCACCAGCCGATCCCCCGCATCGAGGTCCCTGGGCCGCTTCGTCAGGGCGATGGAGTACTCGGTGCACACAGGGCTCGCCCAGACCATGTCGAAGCGCCCCAGAGCGGTCTCGTCGAGCTCCGTGACGTCGCAGCAGATCGTCGGCTCGAACTTGGGATTCAGGTCGACGGAAACCACCTCCCAGCCCCTAGCCTCGAAGGCCCGTCCAATCGACTTCGTGCCGCTGAAGAGCTCGAGGAGCCTCATGGCTTTCTTCCGGAGGCCGGCACGCCAGCCACAGGAACGCGGCCAGGCCGCCTACCAGGCAGGCGAGCTCCAAGTTGCAGATGACGCNNCGCCGTTGGAGCTTCGTCGGACGAGTACTGCATTTTACTCTACCCTTTTCGCACAGTCAAGAGGTCCGAGTGAGTGGCTCGGGAGCTCCCAACGTACAGGTGCCGGAGCGTGAAGTGTTTGTTCGAAGTGTCGCAGAGGGCCACGTGTCCACTGAGGGTGAGGCCCTGGCAGCTTGCGTACGTGATAGCGTGTGGGAGGCGCGTGTGCTTGAAGAGCTCATGCCGTTTGAGCTGCATCCCGTCTTCTAGCTCCACAGCCCCGTCACGAACGTTCCCTTGCAGATCTTGCCGCCCGCGCCCACGAGGCGGAGGCCCGGCCAGATGCGCATGCTCTGTGGCTCGTTGGTCAGGTTCTTGGCTCCTGTGGCTCCAGTGTACTCGAAGAGCACGGCGTCTTCCGGGGCCTTGGCGCGGTTCACCCGCTCGTTCAGCTGCATGCGGTGGAGGTGACTGATCGCCAAGGCCGTGTCGGGCGTAGTGTGTCGCTCTGGGAACCGCGCCCAGGCCTCGGAGTGCGCTGATGAGCGGCGCTTCTTCGGGCTCATCGATGCGCAGCCAGCGCAAGAAGTCGAATATAACCTGGTCGCTGCGCCGGTTCTCCACCAGCTCGTGCCGGTAGCCCCGCGTCAGGGTTTTGATCAGCTGCGCTTGCTGGAGTTCACGTTGAACCTCGGCGCCGGCAAAGCTGTCCAGCACCGCGGGCAATTGGCGGAAGTCCCCCAGGAGCAGAAAGCGTATGCGGGTGTTGAGGGCCAGGCAAGCGATGTCGTTCCAGAGCGCGGTGCCCAGCTGCGTGATCTCTTCGACTACCAGCCAGTCAATGGAGCGCACGTTGCCGTGGCGCACATACTTTCGGAGCCAGTGGTCTGCCGTGCGGGCGCCCTGCCCCATGTTTTGTGCAGCACAGTGAGTTTTCGCCACGAGGTGTACTGCTTGGCCTTGCTCCCGGAGTGCTGCCACAATGCGTCGGGCCAGGTAGGTTTTCCCTGTCCGGGGCAGGCCAGTTAGAAGCAGCGAGCCGCCAGCCAAGCAGTGCGTCAGTGGATCGGGGATGTCCGTCCATTGCAACTCCGGCGGCACGACGTGGTCCGCCAGCCTCGGCTCTCGAAAGAGACCTTTAAGCGGCTTGACATCCTCAACCCGGTAAACGCTGCTTCCGTCGGGATGCCTTAGGTCTTGGAGCTCCTGCAGGAGGTGCTGATGTTTCTTGGGTATCCGCTGGGCCACCACGCAGTCGGTTTTAATGCACTTGAAGCACGAGGACAGCGCGGCCCGCATATGGTGCTTGATCCGGGCCACGGCCACGTACTCGGAAGCCAAGACGAAGTCATGCAGGGGTCTGTGGCTGGAGTTGCTGGTCAGGTGACGGATCCAGATGTAGTCCCAGTACTGTGCCACCGGAACTTCATCCTCGGCTACCGGGTCCGTGCTGGTGGGCGGGTACACCGAGAAGACCCGCCGCTCCTGGCAGCCAAATCCGTCTATTTCGTTTTGACTGGTCCGCATGGTGTACACCAGGTCCATGTTCCTCGCCCAGAGGCCGATGAGGGCGTTCACGGACAACTTCGCGTAGTGCTCTTCGTCGGCAGGCCAAGCGCCCTCCATAACGTTCAGCGCCTTCCGAAAGCATTCAGGCTGCGCGTGAGCGGTTGCGTCCAAGGAGTACTTGAAATCTTCCCAGGTGGCCATGCCCGCTTCCAGCAGGAAAGCTGTGATCGGCTTTGCGTACCAGCCCTCTCCCACGTACGGGAGTTGCGAGAAGGTTGTTGCGCGGCCGTCTGTGCGCAGGCTCACGTAGGTCAAGTCGGCCAGGTGACCAGGCCTTGCTGCCACCACATCGTCCAACGTGCAGAAGACGGGCAGCGGAAAGCGGGCGTTGGCCAGCCCGTTCTTGCGGCACCTCACCACGTCGATGCCGATGCAGGGCTCGCCCTTGCGTGGGGCGTGAACCTCAAAAACCAAAGGCGGGAGCTTCGGGCTCCACAGGTAGGCCTCGCAAGCTCGAGGGTTGAAGCGCGACTCCAGGCTTGTGGGTTGAGTCGTTTGCAGCAGCGTCTTGTTGCGATGGCACTCCAGGCACAAGGCTTGCAGCCTCTGCTCGTCGCCGTCGAAAGCCTGGTGCACGGGCACGATGTGATCCAGTTCACAGGTCCCCAGCTCGATCTCGGCGCCGCACTCATTGCAGAGGGACTGCTGCTGCTCCAGGATTCTGTTTCGAGTCTCCGTGTTGGGCGCTATGCGGTCGGCCTTGATGAGCTTCATGAGCACCTCGTGCGCCAAACCGGCCACTCGCTCTCCTCGGTAAGGCAGGTCCAACGGTAGGTTTTCGAGCCACTGCCGCAGCGTTTCGGCTTCCTCGGGCAGCTGTCGGATGACGCAGGGCTCGCCCTTCTTGATGCGAAGCTTCAAGGCGGAGTATTCCGCTGCAGACCTGAGCATCACTCGAGGGCTGTGCCCGGCCGCCAGGAGCTGGGATCGTATGGCTTCCAAGCAGGACGTCGTCCAAAAGAATCCGCTTTCGGGCTGCTGGCCACGCTGCCACTCTTTCCACTCGCTAAACGGTGGGAGCCGCTGGCACTCCCGCCGTTCGTGCCGGTACATCACCTCATCGGTGCCGCCGCCCAGGATCACCTTCGCTGACTTGTAAAAGTAGGCGTGACCGTTGAAAGCCACGTAGGCAAGGGCCCTTGCTTCCTTGACGGCGGGCTCGAATTTGTCGAGTATGTGGCCGTCGGGGTCCAGCAGGAAGACAGGAGCATTGCGCCATACACAGAAGTCCCTGATTTCTGCTGGAGTGATGCCCTGCGTGCGCCACTCGGGACCGTCGGCAATGACGTCGAAGTCGCCGCACACTTCTTCCAGCGGCAGTTTGAGCAAGATGGAAAGCTGCCTTGGGACGCACAGGTCGTCCATGTAAGGTTCGAAGGCCTCGTCCAAAATTTCGTGACTGGCGAAGAGCTGGAAAGAGATGTCGCGGACTCTAGCCAACCGCATGTTGAGCACGGTTTCCACTCGGGTCTCGTCGTTGATGTGTTGTGTCGTTTCGTAGGACACCACCCATTCACGAGAGTCGTCGAGGTAGTACCGCTCTTGGCTTATCTCCATGATGATTCGATTGCCCTGGTCGTCGGTGGCCGCGCCTAGGCCTTGGCTCAAGACGTCCTGCTTGATGAGGGCCAGGAGCTCCTGCGGCGACAGAGCGTCGTTGAGCCGCGTCCTCCGGAGCCCCAGCGTGTTGACCGGCAGCCGGTCTGTCCTCTCATACGGCCTTCCGTTTTGCCTATGGCCGCGGATGATCACCGGCACGTGGGCCAGGTACTGGGTGTACTTGTCGTGGAAGTACATTTTGCCCATGGTCAAGTGGTACTTGCCGCCGGGCCCCAAAATTCTCACGAGCCGCCTGCGACCGTTCCGTTCCAGCACGTAGTCATGGGGGCCTTGCCGAATGAGTGGCTGGTTGAAGTCCAGCGTTTTGGCGGGTGGGCGCGAGCCGGTCTCCTGGTAATAGAAGCTCCCCAGCGGCGTCGTCGTGCCGTCGGGCCGAGCAAGGTAGACGAAGCCTGGACCCTGGCCGCGCGTCACCGGTAGCACCGTGGCTCCGCCCACGGTCGTGCGGGGGCGGGCGTCCACGGCTATGGCTGCGCGCACCAAAGCTTGCTGTCGTGCAGGTGTTTCCATGTTCGGGTGTGGTTTTGCTTGAAGCCGCGGGGGAACAAAAGGTCGGACCAAGCGGGGGGGGTTGGTCCGACGAGTGTGGGTGGGTGGCTTGGGGGCTGGCGTCGCGATCTTTGAGGGTTTAGGCTGCTGCAAAGGGGCAGGAGAGGTCGTCTTCGGCCTTTGGGCCCAGCATGACATCGGAGATCTCTAGGGCCATGCCCACCTGTGCCGGTGCCACCCAAACCAGACGGACCCGCACTACCACGCGCACGGTCCGGTTTTCGAGATCTTCGGGCGTGGCTGTGGTAGGCTGGAAGTCTTCGAAGAAGCGTGCCTTTCCGAAGTCGATCTTGGCCTTCAGGTACTCCGTGCCTCGCTGCGTTTGTTTTAGACATGAGCACCATTTGTCTTGTAGCTCGCCGCTTGTTAGGTATTTCCCGTTGGGCAGGGCTTGGCTGGGAATTTGCTTTTTTACTTCAGTTTCTAATTTTTCGAAATGCTGTTTAATTTCATGGTCGGTTTCCAGAGAAATGGTCGCGCGTTTTGGGTCGCGGGCCTCTGGGTGGGGGGCCGGCTTCCACAGGACCCGCAAGTATTTTTCCGACATCCAAGTGACGGGCGGGCCCGCGTGAGTTTTGATCGGCAGGATGGTGCTGCCATTCGCAAGGCGCGCCGCTTTGTCCACGACAATGTTGGCTGGAGTTTGCATTTTGCTGGCGGTTTTCTAGTAGGGGGCGGGCATTTTCCGTGGTTCGAGCACACATGATTGGGGAGAGCGCTGCTTGTTTTGGGCGCAAAGGCCAGCATTTCCCCCTGTAGCTGGCTGCTACCGGAACAGAAAAAAGGGACGCCCTGATGTTGGACAGATTTTCTATTTTTTCTTGTGCAGTTTTCTGCATAATCTCACCATGATTTTGGCATGATTTTCGGCATGTTTTGGCATGAGTTTGCATTATTTGGAGCATTCTGCATGATACTTTGAGTATTTTGCATGATTTTTTGCATGATTTTGTATAAGTTTTGACATGATTTTTGCATGCTTCGATTGCTTTTGCATGTTTGTGGGCCTACGTTCTCAAAGACGTCGCCATCTTGTAATTTTCACCCCTTGCCCTGCTCTGCCTTTGTTCAGGAGTCCGCCTCATCATCGCCATCGTGTTGCCGCGGCGTCTAAGTGGTTTGCGCGGGTCAGTTTTGAGCTGGTTGCTGGAGGTTGTGCTCGTTGACCTGCCTCCCGCCTTTCCCCATTGTGTTTCTTCCGACATGCACAGGTCCCCATTTCATCAACACCATCGACGATTTTCCGTGCCAGGGCCTCCGACTGCCTTTGCAAGTGATTTGTGAGTGGAAGTGTGGTCTTGTGGTCTCCTGCGTAAGGTTGTGCTCGACCCTGCATCCCCGAGTGCCCTGCGCCTAACCCTAACCCCTAACCCCTGACCCCTAAACCTTTGCCTTAAACCCTGAAACCGTAAGCCTGGCCTCAGGTACCATCTGCTTCCTCACCATCATTGCGTTGTTGCGGCCTCTGAGTGTTTTGCAAGTGCTACGCGTTCTGTTGTCTTTCTTGCTGCTTGAGGGGTGCTTGTGAGGGATTGGGGGGATGGAGCCGAGGCCCGGGTGAAGGTGAAACTCCTGGGCCGGGGAGGGCCGGGTGAAGGTGAAACTCCTGGGCCGGGGAGGGCGCGTCGGGGCCGGAGGCTTCACCTTTCACCCTGGGGTTGCGGGCTGTGGGTTGGGAGGCTTCGCCCAGGAACAGCATTTGCACCCTTCATGTGCACGCCCATGCTACGGAAGCTTCGCATTTCTGTTTCCCGAGGCCTTACTTTATGGCCGGGCAGGAGGCTCGTTTCAAGCAACAGCAGCACCGCGTCTCTTGCATTGTTTTGCTGACAGCGACGCTGTGCATGTCAAGCTTGGCAACGGTGCAGCTTTTACACGCTTTCCAGGCTAGTTGCATTTTAGGACCTCAGCTTGAAACATGTTGGTCAACCCTCGAAGTGGCGTGTGGCACACGCTAGAAGATGAGAAGGTCGTCTGTGGCATTGTGCGTGATGGGTTGGAGGTTGTGAAGACACAACCTGAAAACGCCCGTCAGTGCGAGAAATGCAAGAAACGCTCTGAGCGCATTAACGCCCTGCCGAGCTCTCTTGCTTCTGGAGATCAGTGTGCAAACAATGCGCAGGAAGGGTCGGCCTCCTCCGAAGTTACAGGGGGCTGTTGGGGGGGCGTGTGACTCCGGGCGGGGCTGTTGGGGAGGCGTGGGG